TGACTAGTTAAGTGTATACTGAGTGTATATGTTTTTCAAAAACTAAGATGAACAGAGTAATTCTGAAAACATAAACAACAAGACCATATGAAGTTCGATAGATTCCCTGCTCCAGAATTAACATGAACTTTGATACAGAGCCAATTTCTGTTTCAGAAAGGCTCACCCTGTTTGAAGAGCATGTCAGTCTTACTTCTGTAGACTTTTAACTGACCATTCATTAATAAACTTTCTTCTAGCATTACTCCTAAGATACTAGTGGGTGATGTGATGTTTTAGTCTAAAACCTTAACATGACAGTGAATAGATTGTGTTTGCTGTACAGTCAAGGTGTGTTTGATACTCTGAATAAAAAGGATATAGCAGTTTGGACTTAGTAGGCTTCATGTTCTCTTTATCATTCCTTATGTTAACCAAGTCATGTTAAAAATAAAACTACTAAGAATGCAATGATGGCTTTATATTAATTAGCCTATCTTGACAGGCGTGGTGGTTCAAGCCCGTAATCCTAGCACTCTGCGAGGCCCAGGTGGGAGGATTGCTTAAGGTCAGGACTTTGAAACCAGCCTGAGCAAGAGTGAAACCCCATCTCTACTAAAAATAGAAATTAATTGGCCAACTAAAAATATATGGGAAAAATTAGCCGGGCATCATGGCACATGCCTGTAGTCCCAGCTACTGGGGATGCTGGGGCAGGATTGCTTGAGCCCAGGAATTTAAGGTTGCTGTGAGCTAGGTTGACGCCATCGCACTCTAGTCTGGGCAACAGAGCGAGACTCCAGAAAAAACCAATTAGCCTATCTTAATGTATAATTAACTGTTGTTAGATCAAGGAAGAAAAATTGAGATCAACTCATTAGACACTGAAAGATCTGAAGAAATTCAGTGTCTTCTCTAATATTTTTTAACTAGCAAAATAGGAATAAATAAGTCTAGTAACATAGGCATAAATAAAAACATATTTAATATAATTTGTAAAAATCTCAAACTAAAAAATGAAAATCATACTTAAACATTAGAAGCATTCTCAGGAGAGTTGAAAACAAGATCACCATACCCATTATCACTAACATTTCATTGTTTGAGTCCTAGCTGATACAAAAGAAAAAGAGGCATAATATTAGAGAAGGTAAAGTTATTTTTTACAAATGGCATAATTCAATTCAGACTGGGTGCAGTGGCTCACACCTGTAATCCCAGCACTTTGGGAGGCCTGGGCAACATAGCAAGACCCATCTTAACAAAATGAATTTTAAAATTACAAGTGTGGTGGTGTGTACCTGTAGTACAGCTACTCAGGAGGATCATTTGAGCCCAGGAGTTCCAGGCTACAGGGAGCAATGATTGGGCCACTATGCTGCAGCCTAGGGCAACAGAGCAAGACCCTGTTTTTCAAAAAAATGAATAAATAAAAGATTAATAAAACAAGTAAGATAATTCTTTAGCAATTTACTCAAGTTCAAAATCTCAGGTAGCCAGAGCCTCTCCTGGCAGCTGTGGGCGCAAGGCAGGTCACAGCCTTGGCCAGAACACCATCCCATTCAGGTCACACTCACACCCACATTCACTCAGAGTAGGATCGTGTAGACATGCCAGATCACATGAACCTCACACACACTGCTTTGGGAGGTGGCAGGAAATGGGAGAAAGCCCATACAGATGAGAATGTGCCCACTCCACACCACACAGATAGTGGCCAGGCTAGGACTTGATTTTTTTCCACACCATTGTTATAAGGACCTGTAATAGATTTTAAAACCCTGTTCCATAGATGAGCTCCTAGTTAGAAAATACAAGAGAAAGAAAAGAGTCTATTTACAAGAAAAGGTTTTAATAGAAATCTCTCTTGTAAGAAATGTGTAGGAGACCTGATCAAGAAAACCAAATGACGAGTATGAGAACTTGAAAGCCCATTGTATCTGTGGCTTCTCAATCTGTGGACAGAAAATGTTTAACAGGCCTGGCCTGGTGGCTCACGCCTGTAATCCTAGCACTCTGGGATGCCAGGCGGGAGGATCGCTCAAGGTCAGGAGTTCAAGACCAGCCTGAGCAAGAGTGAGATCCCGTCTCTACTAAAAATAGAAAGAAATTAGCTGGACAACTAAAAATATATAGAAAAAATTAGCCGGGCATGGTGGCGCATGCCTGTAGTCCCAGCTAATCAGGAGGCTGAAGCAGAAGGATTGCTTGAGCCCAGGAGTTTGAGGTTGCTGTGAGCTAGGCTGACACCAGGGCACTCCAACCCAGGCAACAGACCAAGACTCTGTCTCAATAAAAAAGAAAATGCTTGAACAAATATTGAATATTTGTGTATTGTTCAATAAATAAAAATAATACAGTAAAACCTTTACATAGCACTTACATTATATTAGGTGTTATAAATAATCTAGAGATGATTTAAAATATACAGGAGGATGCACAGTGGTTATATCAAGTACTGTGCCATTTTATATCCGGGACTTGAGCATCCTCAGATTTTGGTATCTTTGAGGGTCCTGCACCCAGTTTCCCTAGGATATCAAGGACAGCTGTACTTTGTTCTTGAATGAGAAGATGTGACATTTTAAATATATGACATGTCCCCTAGATTCATCTGTGAATTAAATGCATTTCCAACCAGAGCACCAACAGATTTTTTTCTTTTTTTCTACAAAATGATCTGGAAGAAATCAAAATGAGAATATTAAGAGAATCTGAAAAAAAAACTACAGTAATAGTAGGGTGACTGACATTAAAATTTGTTTAAAATATAAAGGTACCGTAGTTAAAATGGAATGGTATGGTCAGGTGCAGTGGCTCATGCCTGTAATCCTAACACTCTGAGAGGCAGAGGCGGGAGTATCACTCAAGGTCAGGAGTTTGAAACCTGCCTGAGTAAGAGTGAGACCCCGTCTCTACTAAAAATAGAAAGAAATTAATTGGCCAATTAAAAATATATAGAAAAATATTAGCCGGGCATGGTGGCGCATGCCTATAGTCCCAGCTACTTGGGAGGCTGAGGCAGTAGGATCGCTTGAACCCAGGAGTTCGAGGTTGCTGTGAGCTAGGCTGATACCATAGCACTCTAGCCCGGGCAACAGAGTGAGAGTCTGTCTCAAAAAAAAATGGAATGGTACAGAGCAAATCGGTGAAAAAGAATAGAGTCCACAATACCCAGGAAAATGGTGGAGGCTCTAGAGCCTGCTTGCTAAGAGCCTAAGCTCTGGGGTCCAGACTCAGTCTGGAGTCAGACTGTACTGAGTCTGACCCCTTTTTCTACTTGTCAGTAGCTCTGGGGCTTAAACAAGTTAACTTGCTAAGTAAGCTTCATTTTCTCCAGCTGTAAGCTCATAGTGAAAATAGAATTTGCATCAGAGAGCTCTGGATCCACTAAATGAGATAAGCCATAGTGCCGAGTCCATGGTAAACATTCAATAAATGCTAGTTGTCGATAGCAACGGTAGAATGTGTTAAAGGTAGCTTGTCCAATTTGTTGAGAAAATATAGATTATTTGGTAATTATTGTTTGTTTGTTTTTGAGACAGTCTCACTTTGTTGCCCAGGCTAGAATGAGTGCTGTGGCATCAGCCTAGCTCACAGCAACCTCAGTCTCCTGGGCTCAAGCAATCCTCCTGTCTCAGCCTCCCGAGTAGCTGGGACTACAGGCATGCACCACCATGCCCGGCTAATTTTTTCTCTATATATTAGTTGGCCAATTAATTTATTTCTATTTATAGTAGGGTCTCGCTCTTGCTCAGGTTGGTTTCGAACTCCTGACCTCGAGCGATGTGCCCGCCTTGGCCTCCCAGAGTGCTAGGATTACAGGCGTGAGCCACCGCGCCCGGCCCATAATTATTGTTTTGAATAATTCAAAGATTTTAAACAAGAAGTTAAACCATGAAAATACAATAAGAACATTAAGGCAAAATTTTCTTTAATCTCGGAGTAGAGAAGCCTTTGTAAACATGTCACAAAATCCAGAAGCCACATATAGGGAAAGATTGATGAGTTTAACTACATGAAATTTAAAAACTTTATAGTACCATAAAATAATATTTAAGAAATCGACAGATAAAAGAAACTCAAGTAAAGAACAAGCAAAATTTCAAGTGATTACTTGGGGTGTGGCAGCTGATAGGAAAGGAACATGAGTTAACTTTCAAGAGTGATGGAAATGTTTAAAACTTGTTGGGGCTAGTTACTTGAGCATGTACAATTGTCAGAATGTGTTAACTTGAACACTTAAGATCTGTGTGTTTTATTGAGTATTAATTATACTTCAGTTAAAAATCTGGTAAAAATGGTCCAGGGACATCAGTGAATTCACAAAAACAAAGTATAAATGGGGTATTAAAAAGATTTTCTCCTTCCACTGTGAAAACAAGATGCCAGGTTGGTTGATCTGCATGCAGTGGTGTTTACAGCTGGTTTATCACAACCAGTTACAGATTCCTTTGTTCCTTCTCCACTCCTACTGCTTTGCTTGACCAGCCTTTATTAAGAAAAAAAAATTAAACAAGATGCCAGTTTTTAATCTATCACAATGAAAAACAATATCCAGTAGTAAAAGAGGAGTTAGTGAAAAGAGTGACAATGCAAATTGACATGGACTTTTCAGATGGATGTTAGATAAAATTACTTGTTGACTCTGTAAATTCCACTTCTGGTGCTTTTTCCTCGTGATAGACTCTCAAACATGAACAAAGGCAAATTCAAATATGTTCACTGTATCGTTATTTAAAACTACCTCAACTGCCATATAAATGAGACTGTAAACTAAATTATGGATCATTTTTGTATGATGTGCAGCCATTAAAAGGGATAAAGTTGATAGAACTATATGAACTACTATAGAAAATTTTCCTGTATAAAAGAAACCACATTCCATAATTGATTAAGATTCCATTTAAGTAGAAATAATCTATGCATAGAAAGTTCTTAAAAGAACATATAAGAAATAATGAACATTGATTTTGAACTTTTTTTTCTTTCCTTTTTTTTTTTTTTTTTTTTTTTTTTAGGAAAATGTCGGATGAATTTTCGGTAAGTTGATACGTTTACCTTTGATAAGTGTTTGGCTCTTAAGAAGAACAACATAGTCCTAACTGTCCTTTAACTTAAAAGGGATGCTTTTTGTGATTTTTGAGGGAGGGTTTTGGCATGTGATTTGCCTTAGTTTACTTAGTTTACATGTTTCAAAATGTTTCCTGTACAGTAATAGGGTATTGGGCAGGGGGGAGGGGGGCGCGTATATACATACATAATGAGTGAGATGTGCACCATCTAGGGGGATGGTCATGATGGAGACTCAGACTTTTGGGGGGAGGGGGGAAATGGGCATTTCTTGAAACCTTAAAATCTGTACCCCCATAATATGCCGAAATAAAAAAAAATGTTTCCTGTAGTATTTATTTGTGAATCCTTAAATGAAAAAATTTAAGCTGTTCTTCCTATTGTTCTCTTTTATCCTGATAGTATTAATAATAGCCAGTATTTATTGAAAATTGTTATATACCAGGCACTCTGAAGTGCATTGCCTGAACTATGTTATTTAAGCCTGAAGTTAAGCCTCAAATTGTTTTTGAAAATGAGGAAACTGAAGCTGAGTGAAAATAAATGACTTGTTTGAGGTAAAGCTGGGATTCAAATCCAGATCCTGACTCAATTCTATCCTTCTAATTACTATCTTCTGTTATGTTAATACAGCACAGAAATGAAGCACAGTATGTGATTAGCTGTATTTAGAAAAATTGAGCTTCTCTGAGAAATTTGTACCGTGGAGTTGATGTTCAAGGAACACCTCAAGTTTTATGTTAAATGAATAGCTTAGCTTTTGAAGATGTTGTTGAGGTTTATAATCCCTGACCTTATGGCTAACTGTTCTCTATGGGTTTATAATAGTATTTGGTGTGACTTGTCCCTAGATAAAGACACGTCTGTTTTGTATTCCAGTTGGCAGATGCGCTACCTGAACACTCCCCTGCCAAAACTTCTGCTGTGAGCAATACAAAACCTGGCCAACCTCCTCAAGGCTGGCCAAGTTCCAATCCTTGGAATAACCCAAGTGCTCCACCTTCTGTGCCATCTGGACTCCCACCAAGTGCAACACCCTCCACTGTGCCTTTTGGACCAGCACCAACAGGAATGTATCCCTCTGTGCCTCCCACCGGACCACCTCCAGGACCCCCAGCACCTTTTCCTCCTTCTGGACCATCATGCCCCCCACCTGGTGGTCCTTATCCAGCCCCAACTGTGCCAGGTCCTGGCCCCACAGGGCCATATCCTACACCAAATATGCCCTTCCCAGAGCTACCTAGACCATATGGTGCACCCACAGATCCAACTACAGCTGGTCCTTTAGGTCCATGGGGATCCATGTCTTCTGGACCTTGGGCACCAGGAATGGGAGGGCAGTATCCTACCCCTAATATGCCATATCCATCTCCAGGGCCATATCCCGCTCCACCTCCTCCCCAAGCACCAGGAGCAGCACCACCTGTTCCGTGGGGCACTGTTCCACCAGGAGCCTGGGGACCACCAGCACCATATCCTGCCCCTGCAGGATCATATCCCACACCAGGACTCTATCCTACTCCCAGTAATCCTTTCCAAGTGCCTTCAGGACCTTCTGGTGCTCCACCGATGCCTGGTGGCCCCCACGTGAGTGTTGAATTTGTTATTTAACATGCACTAATAATCACATAAGCACAACTGAAGGATTATTTCTCCCTAGTTTTGGATGAAAGATTAGAAAGTTTTTAAAACCTTTTTAAAGAGAATGCATGTATAATACATAAAATGAGTAAATTGTAAAACTTCAGGTTTAAAAGGATGAAGGAAAGCTCAAGTATTCCTTATACTAGAAACAAAAAGAAACATTTCCCAGAGATCACCAAAGATTTTGTAATGTAGTAAATAGTGTCCTCAGCAGCATCCTTGAGGGTAAACACTGAGCTGCATTTTATTCAGCTCAGTTTTTTAAATATTTCTCAATATTGTCTTATAATCACACCAAGCACAATTCAGTAATAAAGATCTCTGCCTATCCGGCCTGATACACAGACTTTTAGAGAATCCAAGGCAATGAGTATATAACACTCATTTTTCAGGCAATTCTTGAGCTCAGGATTATGCCACTATTCTTTAGTGTCAGTTACATATAATGCTTTATGCGTTGCTGTCAGCCAAACTGGAGTAGGGTTAACCTCTTAATTGAGGTTTTGGTCATATGACTGAATTGAAAAGTACTCCACTTCTCCCATGAGGTAAGCCAAGTGAGCATCCAAATGCAGAGTTAAGATTTTCCTTAGGAAAGAAAAATCTGTTAACTCTTAACACACAAAATAACTAATCAGATCTCTGATTAATCAAACATACAAAGTACCCCCAGAACTTCCTCCTTATATTAGTGTAACTTCTTGCTATATATATTCTCTTTTAAAAATTTTTTTTTAATGTATATGCCAAAGTAACTAAATGAGATGACTTGCTGTTTGGATTTATTAAGCAATAAATTTATTTTAAGCCACAGCAAGGAGTTAATAAACTCCACTTACAAAATCTGGAAGTTGACTTTTTCTTTTTTCTATTGCAGTCTTACCATTAAGTTAACAATGGACGAAGAGATGACACTTTGCTTATTGAAGTACATATATATGCACATGAATGCATATATAAGAATTGCTGGTTTCACTATTCTTAGAGGGCATTCATGAAAGAACAACTCTTGCACCTCTCAGAGAAGATAACTGCCTCTTGTACTTGGATGTGTAGTACATCAGATGGATACAATCAGATGAAAACAGAAGTAAATCATTCAGATATGATTTTTGGTTTTCATGGAAAGTTAAAGTGATTAAGTATACTGAATAGATCTTTGATTAACAATTTAAGTTATGAAACTACTTAAAAGTCTAAGATTATGTGTTAGGATCTGCAACTTCATTGGCAAATTATTTCAAGTATTTTTCTATAGTCACTTCCCCCACCCCCCAAATTAACTTTGAAAATAATCACATTATAATCTAAACAAATGATGCCTCAACATTTTGAGCTGCTCTATCTATAGGACAAATAAACTTGGTTCCCTTGAGGTTTTATTTTGGATATAAATTTTAAGACTGTCAGTGATTGTCGGATTTTGAGTTCAGTAGCCAGCCAGTGTTCATTTATATCCTTGAGCTTTTGGCAAAAACTTCCTGGTTTTATTTTTAGCCGTATGGGTCATACAGCACTAAAATCTGCCATTTATGGAAACTGACTTTTTTTTTTAATCCAGGCCAACATGCATGTAAAATTATATTCGTAGAGAATTGGTGATTTCATTGTATTGCTTTAGAATGGATTGTAAGATGTGCTTATTGTTTTGGGAAGACCTCAAGGAAGGAAATAATTCTCTCCTTTGTTCTGAATCTCAAACTAGATAAACCCTAGGAATTACTTTCTCAGAAAACCTGAGGCAGCTCTTCTGCCCAGACCATTCCCTTTAGCCACCCATCCCCACTTCCCAGTTCTTTAGACGGAGCATAGCCCTTGATTCCTCCCTGATACGGAAAACTGGCACACTCTATATGGGTCTGTCAAAAAGATACAGCAGTTCTGTTTAGAGAACCTTAAGTCATACAGATGTGACTGTTCTCTTTGTGCAAGTGTGAATCAAAATATATATCTGTCTTTCATAGTCTGGTTAAGCTATGTCATTGTCTCCTGCATAGTTTCCTGGACCTATGTAAAGTGCTTATGGCTAACAGTTCAGTTCTATATTTGCTGACAGGTAAACGTGAGGCATTGAGTGCCATCTTTGAAAAAATTACCCTCTAGCTCTAACACTGAAAATAATAATAAATTGTAGATCTCTGCAGTTGAGTTTAAAGCAGTGTGACTGTGTTGCTTAAATATAAAGTATTGTTTATAACCACCAAAACAGCCCTAGTAGCCTTTTGGCGCCTTAATCTTTAAATCAGATTCTTAGATTTGGGATAGACCTAACTTTGTTACTTATCAAGTAACACTTTGAGATTTTGAATGTATTCATTGAGTTTCTAAAATGTATTGTGAATTTCTCAGAGCAGTATAGGAGAGATTTATGCTGGAGCTTTGTTTCTGCTTAGTAATAACATATTTAATAGTTTATTTCTGCTATAATTAAAATGTCAAGAATGCCAAATGCTGCCAATTTAATGGTTTGATAGCTACCTCCTTTTAAGAAAGACAGATGGTCATCTTTGAGAGGAACATTCAGTTATTCCTTATGTTAAATAGATGATAGATTCAAACTTTAAGGATTGACAAAAGTAGAATCTAATTTGTTTGGATAGTTTCAGACTGGAGAATGTTGTTAGCATTTACAAGTGGCAAAAGTAGTCTTTTCTTCTTTAACGTCAAGACCTTATAGCTATCTATAGTTCTCTTAGAATCTGTTGTCAAAGTAGCCTCCAGTCTACAAGGCAGGTACCCTTAGGTGTTATGGCTTAAATTGTCAGTTGTGGAAGGATAAGATGATATGAAAAGTGAGATAGCAGCAAAGTTGTCTCTCTTGGGAGTTATTTTTGGCTGTCCTACATTGGGATAAGTTGACAACTCTGGCTTTAGATGAAATATTTAATGTAACACTAGAGAGGATATAGTTTTTGACTAAAAGAAGAGGTAGCAAGATTGGGAATCTGTAATTGTGGAGTCTATTGATTGTAGGAGAAAATCTATTGGTAAAGGATTTAGCAAGTAATCCCAAATCTTGTTTGGGATTACTACTCCCAGTAAGTATAATGGCTGTTGACCCCTACTGTCCCATGTGCCCTGGATGATACTGCCATTTTAACCCTTTGCTTTCAAGGGCTTTACAACTGGTATTTGGGAAGATTTTTTTTTTTAATGTAAGCATGAAAATCAAAGTGATTAATAGAATTTGCTTTTATATTATTTTTGTAAAGCACCATTTCTCCAGTTGTGGGGGGTGGATCTTGATTCTTGTGAGCATTCTGAGTCAAAAATATTTTTAAATTCAGTCTGGATGGAGTCAAGAAAGGCAAAAGTTTCGGAGGAGGAATGGAAGGAACATCTAGGAAGGTTTTTTTCCTCTTTACAAGGGAATAATGTTGCTTTCAAAACAAGTCATGCCAGGCTGGAAAAGACTGCTTGTTAGCAAGTATATTTGGTCTTAAGGGAATACAAATTATGGAATATACTAACATTTGGGCTTCAGAGCAAGAATTTTTAAATACATTTAATAGATATTTGAGATGTGTTCAGGACTAGTGTTTCTGGAGTGGGAATCATGGGTTTTGAAATGTTAAACACAAAAATGACATGAAAAATCAGCTAGACCTTAGGTCCTCATTCCCACACAGTTCTCAAGAATCACATGGAGTGCTACGAATACCTTGGCTTGTCTGTCCTGGACTGCCACCTTCTCATGCTTTTGAAGACACTATTAACAGCTCTGACTCCACAGCCCTATTTTGTATAAAGTAATATTGATTATTCAGGAATAGCAATACATTTTTAATTACCCAAGAACTTCCTTTATTCTGCATCCATTTGCTGGTTGTTTTCAGTACAGGTAGTAATGGCGCAAAGAAGAAAAAGGGTAAATTTTAGGCTTCAGTCAAGTCATACCACTACAATGTAATATTGGAATATTTTCCAGAAAAGAGGTCAGTGCCCATGCTCTATTACCTCACAAGTAATTAGTGCTACCTGTTGTACTCAAATGTATAGTATTTGAAATTTTGTGTAGATGAAAATTGCTCTACTCAGAGTTTTCATTAAAAGAAATTTATCAGCCTGATTTATCAGGCAGTTGCCTACACTTCTAAACAATAAGTGCCAGTGTCTCTTTCCTCACTCTGAATGATATAGAGCTAGCTTTATCAAATGCCAGGGTGATAAACCGGAGAAATTAGACTTAAGCACAGACCTTTAAGTGTTAACATATTTGAAAATCCTAAGCCTAAATTCAGATGAATCACACTGATATATTGTTGTACTATGCATAGAAAGTGATGGATGGCTTTCAGGGAAGACTAATCTTAATAAAGCAATATTTAGTATTGAAGACAGACACTATTCTTTTTATTTTCAGAATTCTGCCAAGTAAAACAAAAATTTGCCAATAAAATAATCAGTATTTTTAAAATGCCATGCAAGCTTCTGGCTATAGAATACATCTGAAGCATTCATTCAGTAGACACATCTGATCAGGTGCTTTGCCAGATGCCAGAGAGTCCCTGTCCTTGAGAGGCTTATAGTCTAGGTGTAACATAACTGAATTCATTAGTCTACCTGTTCATTACTGGTTTACCTACACATGTTAGGATTGCTGCTGGTGGAAATTGTAGAACCAGCCTTTGGGCATGTTAAAGGGCAAAGTGTGGTTTACCTTTTTTGTTAACTAAGAAATTGATGTTTTCCAAAATTGTGGTGTTGATCAGTGCAACTATTCAAGTGTACAAAGTAATGGGATGTTTTTCCTCTTCACTTTACCCCGGGATAAAGGCACTTTCACTGCCTGTCACTGGTTAGCAGATACTGATTTGTTGCCATTAAGTAAACTTGAGTTCTTATGCGTGTTCTGTAAAGATATTTTGTAATTTTTTTCTTGAAATTGTGATTTTTCATTGACAATAATGACAAATTTAATGTATGTAATTGTCTATGCATTTTAAGTTAAACTGCCTAAAATGTGATTTGGGACATATACATTTGTATTATGAACTGTAAGCAATCTGTTTGAGATGTTAGGTTTTATCACCTGCTGCTGTATTTGTAAACAAAGACAAATGTTGCTTTAAGAAGTAATTATAATTAGGAATAGGCTATGGATGTGATACTTGATATTTTTTAAGATAAACTTGTTTGCTTTTGTGTATTATACCTGAAAACTTTTTTTAAAAAATGTATTTTCATGGTTTCACAGGTTTTTCATGTATTTTATTCTTTAGGCCCAGTTCTGGGCTTCTCTTAGCAGTCCAGAGCCTAATTAATTATAATTTCCTTGTTACAAAGAAAGAGAAAAGGGCCTGAGATACCTCTTTGCACATGACCTGCATTCACTAAGGAATTTAAATAGGCTGCCTAGAAACAACCCTTCCTCCACAAACCCTCTTTCAGCAACATGAATGATGTCCATTATGGTGATTTCCTCTTCTTTCGTCAAGGCCAGACTACTCTTTGTAACTAGGTTATCTGTGTATGCAAAGTCAGGGAACCTTCCCTATCTGGCCTTGCTGCCACTATCCCCGCGTTCTGTTATGAAAAAATAGTTCCACTTTTGCCATAGCTGCTGTGCATTTAGAGAGAGTCACATTATTAAACTTGGTGTAGTTTACTATTTTCTTTCCCCAGGAGGTTTGCTAGCTTTTCTTGAAACTCCAGTGTGAGTGAGGCTATGAATGAATGAATGATTTGCAGTACATTCTACTTTGGGGATTTCTGCTTTCTGCTTTATAATTGAAAAAATGCAACTGTAATTTTTTTTTTTTTTTTTTTTTTTGACCTTTTGTTATCAGTTACAATTCTAGGATTGGCAGGGTAAAAATAAATTTTAGACAGAGTCTCATTTTATTGCCCAGACTACAGTGAGTGCCGTGGCATCAGCCTAGCTCACAGCAACCTCAAACTCCTGGGCTCAAGCGAACCTACTGCCTCAGCCTCCTGAGTACCGGGGACTACAGGCATGCACCACCATGCCCAGCTAATTTTTTGTATATATATTTTTTTAGTTGGTCAATTAATTTCTATTTTTAGTAGAGACGGGGTCTTGCTCAGGCTGGTTTCAAAGTCCTGACCTCTAGCAATCCACCCTCCTCGTCCTCCCAGAGTGCTAGGATTACAAGCGTGAACCACCATGCCTAGCCTACAACTGTAAATTATTAAATTGTTTTTGTTATTTTATTCCATATCCCCTGAAAGTACCCACCACAAATGGAGCTATGAAATAGTGAAATATAAGACCCTTTTGGAGCAGGGCCAGTTTCTTTTTTTCCTATTGTGCAGTGAAAATGCTCTGATAAAAACATATGCTATCCTGAGTTACCTGACCTAAGCAAGTCCTTTTTTACCACCATGTCCACACTCTTAGCACCAATCCTTATGCAACACATCTCTAAAGCAAAGAAAAATCCTATTAGCTTACTTATTTCAAACAAGATGTGCAGTAGAATTCTAATGCCAGAAGATTTGAGCCATCCCCATAGTGTTTATTCCTATGGCATTTAAGTAATCTGTTTTCACACTTTGTTGTGTTCTGGGGTTCCAGAGCTGAGATCGAGTGGTTAGAGCTTGTAGAGCTTAGTCTCCCGCTCCCCATTGCTTTCACTACAGCAATTCCACTCTGCCACCTTATCTATTTTACTTACTGATAAGTTGTTTGGGGAAGGTTTGCTGCTTTTAGATTTTAAAAACTGCTATTTTAGATGACCACGTCTCCTAGTTGAGGTTTGCTTAGATCATAGTCTTAAGTTCCCAAGTAGAATAGACTCTCGGGTGGGCCATCTGGGATTCTAAGCCATGCTTGGTGTTAGAATCACATAACAAAAGAAGAAATTGAACATTTTGTTAGGTTATTTCTGTGATTATGTTGTATGTCAGATATCATTTAATGGTCATTTAGACTAGCATTTTTAAAAGATAGATTAAAAGGCCTCTTTTAGTAGAGAAGGAAGCCAAAATTAAAAGAGGTTGAGTAAATTCCCAAAGTCATATGGAACCAGCTCTTCTGTCTTTTACCCACCAGGTTACTTACCATGTTTTGCTCAGGCATCCAGTGCCCTTTTATGTGGTTCCTTTGTGTTTTCTCTTCCACAAGACACCCTGACTTGTTCTTGTCCATTTAAGGCGCCATTGAGTAGATTCCTAAGCTATGGGAAAAATAATTTTTAAGATAATGCTCAACTGATTAACTTTCTAAGTGAAAAGGACAAAGTAAATTGAGCTGCTTCATATATTGTCCTACTTAACTAGCTATATTTCCTGAGAGCTAATAATGGTAGCTTTTATGTATACTTTTTGTACTATTGCTTATTCAACTCAATACCCCTACTGCCTTTGATAGACATATAATCTAGGAGGAGACAGAAATATCATGTCTTGTTGACTGACACTATTAAACAATTTACATTGCACTATCCCATTTAAACCTCACAACAAACCTCTAAGACAAACTACACT